TTTCTTTTGTCATTTCCTACTAACATCATTTTCCCTTTTGCGCCTCCCCTCTCATAAATAACTTATCCAATTTATGATCAAAGGGTCAGGTTTGTTCCTGGTGTTTCACCATTGCAAAAGTATGCTTTGCAAAGCAAGATTAAGCTCTGGATAGTCCACCTTCTGGCAGGTGGAATTGAAGGTGTCCAGAATGACTTAAGGGTTGTATGACTTGTTTAAAACCTAAAATATCTCCTATATATGATGTTATCTATGCAAATATTTAGATACAGGCTTTGGCGTGAAGAAGTTGGATTTAAACGTAAGTTTTGTTAACTTTGTGTTTTTCTAAAATGAAAAAAGAAACAAAACCTGAAAGATCTCAACTAAACTGAAGGTTTTGTTAAAATGAATCTACTTTTTTTTCTGAGAATCAGTAAATTACACAGGTATATCATTAGATCTATAACACCCACAGCATCTTTATGGTATGAAAGCTCTATTAGCTGGTAGCAATGTTAAGAAAACTTGAATATTTCCTTTCTATCAAATGATTCCTCAAAAGCTACCTATTTTGGGGCTGTTTTATGCACATGCAGTGTTAAATGAGGCAACTACATAACACTACAGTATCATTCTCTCTCTCTCTTGCCAATGTCTCGTTCTTCAAGTTTAGGTTTTGCTCTGGTAGTGGGCTCTGTAGGACAGTTGATACCATTTGCATCATCCACTCTGTAAGCATGGTGTAAAGAAATAATACCATTTCTACATCTTCTGTTTCTTCATCCTTCTATAAATAGCTCATCCAGCCTTGCTTTTGTAAAAGCATGTATGCGTTTCAGTGATACTATTTTTTTCGTCTCTGACAAATGTTCTAGCAGGGTGAGTTTGTGACCTTAAGTTTCAACTGTGACAAGGAAGTTCAGGTGTTTTGTTCTGTTCCCCACCCTCCTAAGGGTGCCTCTGACAAACCTTCATTTTCATAGCATAATGGCTCTTATTCACCTGGGTGAGTCACATCAGGGATGCACAGGATTCCCAGCTGTTCCTTTTTCTTTCAGTGACTTGTTGCTTGTATCAGTTTACTCCTCCAGCTTTTGTTTTAACTTGAGGCAAGCAGGGATTTTCCTGTCTTCTTTGGGTCTCAGAATTCCAAACATAAAATTCTATTACAGGATCCTGTTGCCAGTGTTGGCAGTTTAACCAGTCCGTGTCACTAGTGCATAAGAACCTGAAAGACTGTATTGGGCAGGCTAACCAGTGGCACAAACCACCTTGTGAGGCTGAAAGTGTCAAAGCTAAATAATGACTGTGGACCATGGGAAGTGCATTTTCAAGCTTTATCTGTCTAGTAGACTGACAGTGACTTTGAACCCAAGAGTATGGGTAAGCCGATGACAAAAGCCTGTCAGAACACAGTGTGCTTCATGTTCCTTGTCACCAGAGTGCAGTGACAAGTTAATGGAGGGAACTGGGTCATCAGATTTTGAAAAGGAGGGGATTTGCTTTGGGAAGAGAAGTGTGGGAATCTGTGGAGGTGGCTACCATTGTGAAAGTCCACTTCTGATAAGATCTTTGATCTTAATGCCTATACAGTCTTGGGTCACAGTAACTCCTGCTGTACCATAGTGCATTCACCTGTTCAGCAGTGAGGAAAAACTTTCAAATTATTTAATTTTGTCTCCTAAAGACACAGGTACCTTTCTCTTTTTTCTTTGTCTTAAATCTTTCCCAGGAGGTTGGCGTACATTATTTAGTTGTATCCTCATTTGGTGGATCAAACCAAGCTGTAGTTGGCATAAAAATCAGAACAGGTGAAGGATGGGAGAAATTTCTGATGTCCGTGCATGGGGCAAGTGTAGAAGCTATCTGTGTGCACAATGTATTAATAAAAATGTATCTAGTGTATCACTTCATCCATCAGAACATGATAGTGGTCTTGAATCTAGCACAAAACAAGACATTTTAAGGGCCATGATAACCTCACTTGACACCTCTAAGGCTGTATTTAAGGAAGAGCAGTGTAATTACTGCCTTTCTTATGTAGCTTGAGATGTTGATGGTGAGTTGTTTCAGCTTGTGCCAGTTCCTTTGGATCAAATTTGCATCTGGTCTGGTCGTGCTGTTTATGCTTGTTGCAGGGGTTGCCGTGACTGGCTGGGAATGCTAGTGGAACAGGCCTCATCCCAGCAGAGCATATCTGCTTCCTTGTTTCCTCCAGTGGAGAGAAGTGGTATAATTGATGCCATTTACAGTGTCCAAGGACTGACCTATACTGGAGATTAAATAAATGATTAAATAAATGCATAATTTATTTACCATTTACTTTAAACCTGCCATTTACTTTAAACCTGCCATTTACTTTAAACCATGCCATTTACTTTAAACCTGGCAAAATGCAAGCTGACATGCTTTATCACCTCTGCTCAGTGTATACAGCTGTCATGGACTTCCCAGTGTCAGTACTGGTGTGTATTGTTTTGCTTCTGCAGTATCTCATCTCCCACCTACACTATTGCCATGACAATTAAGGTAATTCAAAACCAGGGCTCATTTTGCAAACCTGTGTCATTCAGGTTTTTGTTTTGCAAACTGATTCCAGTTTTTATTCCAGGATTTGTAGGCAATAGCAATGTACAATATCATCTCTATTCAGTCTTGGGATTAGTAAATAATAAGTAGGGATCGGTCACTTTCAGAATGTTTCATAATCACAAAATCAATAAAAATAGGTCCAAAATGTGCTGTTCTTTTGTGGGTCATCTAATAGATGCTTTAACAGAACAATCTGTATTGAGTCAGGCTTTTCTTGTTTGTAAAAACAGAAAACATATGATGCAACCCCAAAAAGCAATTTAACTCCACCCCAGTAGCGTCAGATTTATCCCTGGAAAAGTCAGGGACAATTTTGTCATGCCTTAAAATGCCTCCCTTGCAAAGCACACACTGCTTGTCTCTCGTGCTTTCACAATCCTCCTTCTAATTCCAGCTGTGACCACAGTGTGGTTTGCTTCAAGCTTCCGTTTCAGACTTCATCAACTTTTTGTGTGCTGATATCCCTCAAGTGACAAAATAACATCTGCAGGGAACACTGAGGCAGATGGTCATGCTGGAACTCTTAGTTGTCCATGAGTGCTGTAATCAGGTTGAAGACTAGATGGGGCAAATCTGCAGAAAATGTAGAACTAGCCATAGAAGTACACTCTGAGACCTGGGCCGGGCTTACAAGTTAAGACATAGATTCTCACCCACATTTCCAGTGAGCAGCTCAGCTCTGAAGCACTGTGTAGTTTTGCATTTCATGAAGCTTGGCTACTAAATGGTGGCTGTGTGCAGAGCCACCATGTATCCAAGTGTATCTTGGAATCTACAAATTCAAAAATTAGCCATCCTCAAAGAGCTTCATGCAGGGTCAGCTCACATCTGCTGGAGGCTCTGCAGAGCCAGATTTTCTGTGTCACATTGCCTAACTTCTCAGAGCACAGAGACAGCCCAGCTCCATGTACAGTGTGGTACAAGGACTGCAGAGACACTCTCAAAGCTCTGCCAGAGTTAGCTCAGGTCTAGCAGAACCCAGGTGGGCTCTGTGCAAAATATGTTCTTTACTGGCCAAGTAAAGGTTTTTGCAGAAGCCATATGACCCTTGCTCCTCATCTCCTGGCTGCGTGATAGATACTTTGCACATTCTTTTCCAAGTGAATGTCATTCCTACGTTAGATATTTAATGAGAGAAAATAATGAAAACACTACTTCACTCTACCCTCTTAGTGTTGTTGCTGAAACTGTTCTTCTGCCATTTATATTTGACTTTTTTAATGAGCTCTCCTCCATGATGAAGGTAAGATCATCTTCCTGACTCATCATTCTTGTTGAGACGCTCCAGCCAAGCTTCTGTGTTCCTCCATTCATCTCCCTTTGTCCATCACAGTGAACACAGCTTTCTTGTCCCATCAATTGTAATTCACTTTGCCTATATTATTGTGACTGCAGTTTGTGCAGTGCAAGTGAGGTAAGGTATTCACTTGCCTAATTTTTTTCTTCTGTTCCCTCATTACAGCCTTACTCACAGGGGAAATGCTCAGTCAGAATCCACACGCCACTCTCTTTTCTTCCCCACAGATCATCCTGTAAGAGTTCCTTCTGCCTTGGTACCTGCAATGCACAGCCAGGCAACCAAAGACTAGAGAGCTGGCAAGTTGAGATGATTCCTTACTGTTCAAAGCTATTTGTTATCTCAGTCTCTTAACACCACTCTTTTGTTTGTTGCGTTTTGTATTTTGTCCTCCTTCGCTGTGAGTTGGGCAGGAAGGATGCTGCCTTTTTTGGGTAGTTGGAGCACCTTATTTGTTTGGAGACTTCAGGCACTAATATTAGATAATTCACATGCAATAAAGAAGGCTCTCTAGTGTTGCCTTATCATTTATGTTCATTGCTGAGAGGAAGGAAAGGGGAGAGTTATCATCAGTTATGGAAAGTGGAATAGGTTTTACCTTCCAAAGCAGAAAAATATGGAGAACACTTTTGTTTGTCTGTCCATGTAAAATCCTAATTAAGGATTTTGTATACATATGTAGGCACTCAACAAAAAATGGAAGAATCTTGTCCCTGGTTTTTGTTTTCACATCCAAAGAGAATTTAAGAATGCCTAAAATGTTTTCCCCACATTTCCTACAAAAAAGGAGGTATTTTTGTCCTCTTTGCAAGGGAGAGAAAAAGGCAAAAAATTAGTCTTCAGAATAAACTATGTCAACAGTTGTTACAGAAAAGGGAAGCTTTTTGCCACAGCAGCTGCTTTGCTGCCTTAACAGCTGCAGTATTTATTAGTATTAGTCACAGGTGGTTTGCACCCTTCCTTTCTCTTGCATTACCCCACATGCACAGGATACAAATGAAAAACCTTCATTAGAACTTAATGTCATATAGCTTAATAACACACTTCTAGCCTGTTCTTTTGTACGTTTTGTGCCTTAAAACTTTCACAGTTTAATGAGATTTAATATTCCCTGTGCTTATTTCTGCAGGCACCCTAGACAAGCACGTAGAACTAGAAAAACTTGTGGCCACGTTCCTTGGTGTTGAAGATTCCATGGTGTTTGGCATGGGCTTTGCAACTAACTCGATGAATATTCCAGCCCTTGTTGGAAAGGTGAGGACTTCCTAAAGGAACACGTAGAACAATCGTTTATTGATTGTTTTAACTACTGTTACCGAATTCTGGGCGCTCACTGAGTGGAAAGGCTTGATCGAGGAACAAAGCTTGGTATCAGGCATGTGTGAGTCACAAGGCTGATGACCTTGTGACCTTAAATGTGCTCCTTCACCACTTTTGCTAGTGCTGAGTGTTGCTATCACACATATCTAATGTTTACTTAAGGATCAGGGATATGGCTGTTTAGCTTCTCTTAATGAAGTTGCTTCTCCCTAAAAAGTAAGCGAACGTTGTATCCCTTGACGAGGTGTTGTGGGAGGAAGTATTTGGGCTGCTGGCAGAGATATTGCCCAGCTGCCTGTGGTGAAAGATGACTATTAGGATAGTTTATACAACACTTTCAGAAAACAAAAAGCACAGTGCTTTACCATTCCTGATGAACAGAGCTCCAGCCAGCTCTGCCAAGAAAGCTGGCAGCAAACGCAAGTCTAAAGTCATGACCATATTACAGAAGTTGGGTTCTTATTTGGTGCTGAAGGGACTTCATCTCTGATTTGGGGTAACTAACACAAAGGCATGAACATCCATCATCCTGTCAGTCCTGGACATCACAAGCAGAGACACTGTGCTGGGAAAGCTGGGAGCTCCTCCTTAGTTCATCGAAGTGTGGAACAGAGTGAATTCACTTTGTGGTGTATGATCAAAACTTCTGAAACAGCAACACAGAGGTGAAGACACTTCTTCACTCACTGTTGAAGATGAATGCAGCTTTTGCAAGAGATTTCTGAAATATGTGTATACAAGTGTTGAGCAGGGACAGCTGCCTCAGCTGCTCAGAACATGAACTTCAGTCTGCAGTGGTACTGGAGAAATTATCCAGCACTTTCAAAGGGAACAGATACTGAGAATTAACAAAGGTAAATTTATGAAATTGCAAAGGTAAATTTATGGAATTGCAGACATACATAATAGCTTAAGATACTTGTCCCTTGCTTTTAATAATTTTCCCTCACTTACCTGGCCTTATGTGGAGACTCAAGCCTCTGTCAGACATGGGATATTTAGATAAAAGTGGCACAAATAAAGATAGGACTGGATGTATCATATATATGTTTAACAATTCAGTGTATATTGTTATACAATATTATTATATATTATATATTACAGATATTGTGTAACTGCCCTATGTTTGGGAGATTTTTTTTCCTGTGTTTTCCTCTATATTTAAGCCTAGCAGCTACATTTTCTTGTCAAGATGCATATACACTTACTATTAGTGCTTCATACCAGTCTCTAGGCAGACTGTGTGAGTATCTCTCAACCTAGGCCTAATCCATGATTCCTAAATAAGTATTTACTTAATGTTGTGTTGCCCTTTGGGTAATGAAACCACAGCACAAGATGTTTAATAGAAAGCAGAGCTAAATTAGGGTTCAGGCCTGAATTTCAACTGTGAGTCCTGGCTCCTGTTAATGTAATATACAAATTTACTTCTCCTGCATTTCTATTTTAGTTTCTAAAAACAAAATGAGTTTTCAACTGAGTTAATTAATAAAAAGTATACTCCAGGTCAACTGTAAATGCATTTACCAGAGAAAGGCTCCTCCTAGTGCCTAAACTTCACTCACATCTTAATGGAGATGGGACTTACAATCTCTCCTGATCTCATTTCTGCAGTGGAAAGTGCTGATGTCAGTCCAGCCTTTTTTTTTTTTTTATTCTTACTCCTCCTTACACTACTACTGTCATACACTTTATATATGGGGAGGTGGCTGCATTTTCCTTACAACTCAAAATAGACTGTAGAGAGGTGATAGAGGAAGCAACATCTCTGGATTTTACTATAAACCAGTCAACCTTCAGTAGGGTTATTTGCTACTTTTCAGTTACAGGAGAAGTTTGATCCTGCGAACCACCTGAGAATGTGCCTGAGAATCTGACCCCACAGTTTCTGCCTGCCTTTGCAGTGCATCCTGGCACCTTCAGAAAAGTGGCAGAAAATCCAGTTCATGTTTAATACTTACGGCTTAACTGGTGCAGTTCTTTATCACAGATGTGTGTTTGTGCTGACACACACATGCACACGTGTCAGCAGCCTCCCAGTTCATGCAGGTACTTATTGTGCTCCTTCTCCACAGGGCTGCCTCATTTTAAGTGATGAGTTGAACCACACTTCTCTCGTTCTTGGTGCGAGGCTTTCAGGTGCCACTATTAGAATCTTCAAGCATAATAGTGAGTATTGAAGTTGGAAAACTGTAGAGACAGAATTGTTCACACCTCAAAGGCAAGAATGCTTTCTTTCAATGCTTACTCTGCTGTCAGTTCTCAGGCAGAAAGATTAACTGTTTAATGTTATGAGTGATTTCTGATGGGAAAAATTAAGAGTGCAATACTATAATTACTATTGTGTATGATTTGTGTCATCAGGTTGGACCTTAATTTCATAATTCAGTGTTGTCTTAATCTCGTTGCTGTCTTTTTGACATTCTGAATGACTGTGTGGTGTCATAAAGGGTTTATTGTTATTGTCATTATAGCTCAGGCAGTAAAAACACACTTACAAAAACATGCCTCTGTTTCCAGCAAGTTCAGTGCAACCAGAGTTCCATTCACATGGCATTACTTTGAAGCAGTTATTCTGAATTTCCAGGGATCTAATACCAAAGATGTAGATGGTTGTATCAAAAGTATCATCTCAAATATTCTTTGAACTAGAATTTTAGTATAGAAATCATGCATTAACTTTGCAATCATATAGTTGTCTTCTAAAATGCTCATGCTTTTTAAGTTTTATTTAGTTAATGCTGCTGTGGTTACTGTCAGAGACATTGGGACTGCTTTGATGACGAGTTGTTCTTTTCCACTGTTCCCCATTGCAATTCCCCTTTCCATCCTCACTGCTGCCACCAGGCAGTGATTGCAACAGAGGTTTAGAAGCTAGAGAAGTGGTGAGGAATAAGAAGAGAGATCTGATTACCTTTGTAAATAGCTAATACAGTCCCTTCTCTTCATTAAGTGTTGTGTTCAGCCCCAAGGGGAGCAAAAATGCATATGTTGTAGAAGGCCTAAGGATGAGCTGGAATGAAAAATACACTATAATTATAATGTAAGATGTTGTTATAATTAATATCTATTCATAATTTGGGCAAGAAGCAATTTCTGAAGATCATTCAAGAATTAAAGGTCACCTGAACACAAATATTTTTACAAAAGTAATTATTCTTAGATTAACCTGTAGCAAAACCCAGCTTGGTTCACTTCCACAAATCTGGGTACACTAAGCATGGTTTTTGTACCAGTTTTGTGGGGCTTTTTTTCTTTTGTTATTCAAAGCCTTATTCCATTCAAAATAGGTTTACATCACATCTTGCAGGATGACCTCTCACTACCCAAATCCAAATGTTCTCGGTCTCTCCACCCATCCATGTTGCATGCAGCCCAGCTGGCTTGGGTCACTTCCACAGCATTTCAAAGAACATTCCAGTTTGAGGAGTGTATTACTGTCAACTATGAAGACATCAGCTGGAGCTGTTATCCTCACTCTAAGGAATTTGGTCTCTAACCATCCCTCACTATTTCATTCCCCTCCCCAGAACCTGATACCTAAGCAGCCTCTGCTTGTGCTTATGGTAAATTAAAGCTGATGCTCTTTTGAATAATGTGTGAACCTAAAAATAATGGTGAGCTATCCAAAAAGCATTAATCCAGCACTGGAAAATGTAGACAGTTCCTTTAAGGGTCTCAGCAAACCTCAGTGGAAGCCCATCCAGATTGCTTTGGAAAAACTCATTGGTTTCTAATTAGAGATCTTACTTGCCAAGGACAGTCTTGTATGCCATTGCTGAGACATCACCTTAACTTGTTTTCAAAATGAAACTGTGGAAACTTTTGCAAACATTGTTTGGAATTTGAGTGACAGACTTTGTCATCACAATTTTGTGGGCTTTGAGCCTGAACCTAAGCTGCATTTAGAGAGCACTTCATGTGGAGAAGCTTACACACTTCCTCTCAGCCCACTGTGTCTGTTTGTTAGTTCTGTACTTAGCAAATTCTTTCTTTTAATATTTCCTTAATCATATCCAGAAGTTACAGATCACCAACAACTTCAAAAATCACATGTGCAGAGATGTATGTCTGTGCCTTTTGCTTTGGAGGAAATAGGGTGTGTATTGGGGGAAATAGCAGTGGAAGGTGTAATCCAACAGGACTGCCTTTGTAGGATGCACAAAATGAAGCAGACAACCTTGTTCTCTGTGGGTCTGTCAGGGAATAGTTTAATACCAGTCAGTACAGCAAACTAAGGACATAAGTAACCAAACTTCCAGCTTGGGTTGGGAGGGTTCTTTTCAGTTAGACAGATGCTTGTTTTGTTAGATCAGAGCTGTGTTGCTTATGCTCCCAGATTATCCTTCTTGCTAATGTGTGGATACACAGCATTTATCCAGGCATACCCAAATTGTCAGAGTATGTTACTACTGTCGTTGTCATGCTTATGAACAGTGGAATTGAGCCATTCTCCATGTGACACTGTTTGGTGTGAAGGCAAAGTTCCTTCTGCTGTATTGGCCCCGTGCATGAATAGGAGACTTTGCACCTTGAGTTACCACTTGTAGATCTCTAAGAAGCATTAATTTCAGCATCATCCTTTTTGTTACTTTTGAAAACCCTCCCCTGTTCTAGTTAAAAAAGGCAATACCCTCCACCTCTTCTTTCTAAGGGCAAGGGATTGATGTATCTAATTTAATATACAGAAATTAATGACCCTTTAAAGAATCTGGCCCCGGGCATCAACTGGAGGGATTTACTGTGTCAGAGGCATGGAGGGAGCCCTTTGATGAGCAGCTGGAACAATTCTCCAGCAAGGTACAGAAACACACTCACTCTCGCTCTGTTTTATCCTACGCTAAAGACAAAGCAAGAGATGCCAGTCAGTACCACCACTAGTGCCTGAGACATGCTTTCTGTGCAGGAGCACCGAAATAAACTCAGATCAGGGAGCAGATTTGGAAGTTCCCTTCTTGCTTTGAGAATGCAGCTTGGGAAATCAGCCTCTATTCCATGCTCCTTATTGCTTTCATCAGCAATGAGGATGCCCTTGATAAAACTGCCTGGAACATATTTACTTTGGCTCCGACTTCCTTGGTTGTGTGGGTGTAGAAGAGACACTGGGAGAAGGGGGAGGTGTGAATGTTTGTTGCAGTTATTGTAAATGGGGGGGGAATAATTATGTAACAATTTAGTGAAGCAATGATATATTTTCTGAACTAGCTGCTTCCTGAATATAATACAAAAAAAATGCAGAGGTTGTGTGCTAGTAACCTCCCTTTTTAACAAGCTTGCAGATCTCTCTCCTTTCCCCCCTTATTATGGAAAAATTATTTTTCAAAGAAAAATTACAGGAAACTATGTTCTATGATAAAAATATTTCACAGAAAAGAGAGTAAAATCTACGATTTAAAACTTACTACTGAAGCACCTTCATCTTTCAAAGGCTATACTGTGTCTAATTCTGTAAAACGGTGGGATTTTATTTCAAAGCATATAATTTTTAATACTGGATTGATTTTTCATCATTCAAAAGTAAATAATTACACTTTTATTATTAATAAATAATTATTTCATGAGTAAGACAAGAAATAATCTCTACCTATTACCTTAATTAAATATAATGTAATTATTATTCTTACAAAAGTTAATGAAATTCTATTTCAGTAAGCGGGTAGCTATCTTAGACATGACACTTTTCATAAAATATCTGAATAGTTTGTCTAGAACAGGCAAAATATTTAAACCTCTATGCCTGTCCTAGTAAAATAAAAGGCATCCATTTTGACAAAAACATTGCACAGGTGTATGAGAAGGTTTTCAAGCCTGAAAATGAATAATAGAACAAAAATGTGCTGTGGACCTATAAGTATGTTTGTATTTGGATGTAGGAATGTGCCCTGCATCCTGCCTGCCAGTGAACAATCCCTTCCTTGTAAACAGACAGGAATTTACAGGTCTGGGCTGAGAGAAATGCACAGGCACACACCTACAGATCATCTATGTAAGAGAGATTTAAGAGAATATTTCATTTCAGCCCCATAACTAAAAAACTACTGAGCAGGACATTCCCTTCCCGTGGGCTCTCATTAGCTCTGTCTCTAGTTTTCACCCTGCCAAGGTTATTACCAGTATGGCACAGGGGTTTAGGCCTTTTAGAGACTTTTTCTCTTGCAGGGATTTGGGAGTTTTTGCAGAAGCAAGCAGTAGAGCTCAGCTCCCTGGAGCCCCTGCACTGATGAACTGATCTAGGGGATTTAAATTTTTTTAAAAAAATTTATTTTAGGACCTCAGTAGTCCTAAATGTATGTAGTGGTGTTTTGGTGGTCTAAAGTTTTTCAGACCTGCCCATAGAGCATCTGCCTTTTGTCCTGCTGTGGTGTCATCACCATTCAAGTTACCATTTCCCAGGCAGTGATTTTTTTAAGAAGCTAGGACAGAGTTGCATTCCTGCACTGAGAACACAGGCAGCAGCATGGTCCAACAACTAGTATGCAGTGGGAGAAGGTGAGAGGCTAAAACATCTCCCCACCTCTGTAGCGGTAGGGGCCTGGCTTTGCTTAGTTTATGTGCCAGAAGGTGTGTCTGATGTTATCCTCACCAGCCCTGGGCTCCAGGGAGTCTCTCCTACCTTGTCTCCAAGTGACAGGCAAGAGGGTCCTTCAAGCTATGTGGGGGCTAAACTCAGATGTTTTTATTTCCTGGCTCAGGGAGAGATTGTTATATTTAAAAGCCCTTTTACAGGACCTCTGACCTTTATCTTGGTTAAATATTAGCCAAAATCCCTTGACCCTTCCAATAAAACCTGAAAAGCAAAACCAAATATTTAACCATTAATCAGCTTGTGATTTTGTCAAGGGGTCTCTGTTGCAGCAATTCTGGGTCTTATACTGGTACCAGGTGTTCCTTCAGTGGACAGATGAGGGTGTTATGGACTAACTACATCCAAATGAGTTCTGTTCTTATCAGCTTCTGTGAGAGGGCACTGTACAAGGCTTAGGAATTGTTTGTTCTTGCCAATTCCACTACATTTTCCCCATGTAGCATCGACTGCAGTCCCGTTTGCAGGTTTAGATTTGCTATTCCATGAAGAGTCTGTGGGAATGTTGTTACTGGGCACAGAAATCAGGCCATGTGGGAAAAAGTATTCTCAGTTCTCTTCATTGCAAGGGCACTTCACCAAGCAATCAGAACAAGTGATCCTGTGAGAAGGGCAGGCAATTACAAGGCACAACCAAACACCTTGATTAGGTGAAAATCCAGGATCTAATCTGCTGCTTTAATCCACACCTGAAACGGGAATTAGGGTAGTAGATTCTTAATTCCTCCTTATGCACCTTTTCAGTGTTGTGGAAGTACTAAGGGGTTTTATGGGTTCTCACAGAGCAGGTAGTTGATGACAGAAGTGTGTCATTCAGGTAGTTGATGACAGAAGTGTGTCATGCAAGCATGAGCTGTTTGGGTTTCCATACAAAATATGGTTTCCTGCTTTGGGCAACATTTGTGAATTTATGTTAGTCCAACTCTGGCATTTCTCAGTCTCCTCAGTCCAATTATTGCTTTGGAGTTCAGATACGAATGCCATGAGGACACAGTTACCTGAAGGAGCTGTAGTTACTACTGGAGGAAATTTAAGAGGGCAGAAGGCCCTAACTTTTCAGTGCAAATGTATTGTCTAGCTAAAAAGAAGGAAAGAAGATGGGGAAAAAAATAGTGGAAAACTCTCAAGTGCATGCTTTTAAGCAAGCAAGCAAATAAAATAGGGGAAAATGAAAGAGACAAATAAACATGTAAAAATTAGCAAAATATCTCTTTGGTTGCAAAACCCGAAGAGTTTGCAGTGGCTTAATCCAGGACAGTTCCTTAATTTTTATTTTTTTTCCAAAGGTGTAAGTGGCCCTTGAATTTCTGAAGTGAGGACAGCTTATAGCTATTATAGAGCAGGATGAAAGGCACATTACCTACTAAGGTTTTGTCCTCCCTGGAGCCTCTGGCCACTATCAGAGACAAGATTATTGCAGCAGATAGGTGGACTGCAGCCTAATCCAGTTTGGCGTGTCTTTCCCTGTGACACATACAGACGCTGCCTCAGCGAGGAGACCGGAATATCCTGCTCCGACCACGCTGTGTCTGCGTTTGCCTTCTCTGATTTGAGAAAGCCATGTCTGACTTGAGTGTGAACAGGGAGCTTTCCTGAGTGAGTGCCCTTTGCTTTCACAGAGATCTGTGTTTGTTGAGGGGCAGGCAGGGGAATCTCGGACTGCTATGTGGCTGTAGTGATCACCACTCCCACCAGCCCATTCCAAACGCAGAGATTCCTGCATCGCCACAGAGTCTGCAGGAACTTGAATGAGAGTGCAGAACGGGAGAAACTGAAAATCAGATTTACAAACACAAAATGAAAGAAAGAATGTGACAAGAGTAGTAGTAGCCTGTTTATTTTAATTAAGCAGGATTCAGCTGACATCATGCGGGAGATTTCCAGCCCACGCAGAGGAACAGTGATGACATCCCCAGCGTTGCAGTGCAAGGATGAGAGGTGGAGACACCGTGTCTCCCTGAGCATGCCTGGGAGAGGGCAGGGGCCCTTCCAGGAGCCCAGTGTCCCACCTGCACTGGAGGCAGCATGACACACTGCCCAGGTCCAGACTCGCTTCAGCCCACTGGCACTTTGTGTTCTTGGTACTTCTGTTGAAGTAACTCTGAAAAATCCCGTACAAGGATTATGCAAGTCCACTGATGCACTGACAGATCCACTGTGCCCTCTTAGGAAACTTTATCCTCCATATCAAGACAATATACCATAGGTAAAAGGTGGAAAGTGAGACACTGATCGATTTGTACTTCGAGTAACTGATCAAGAGGAATTCTTACCACCCACTCCTGTGCTGGTGAGCAGTTGTTTGCCATTGCCACTGGAAACCCTGGTCTGGTGATGGTCAAACCAGGAAGGACAGTTATTTTCCCTGTAACTGGTTATTCAAGACGGACTCATGCAATCATCTGATCATCTCAATGTCCCAGTGTTTCTCAGTCTAACTATATTTAATGGGCAAATAATTTGATGTCTGAAAGTCACCTGGGGTTGCACTCTTGTTTTTCCGGCCATTCAGTATATCCCACTTTCTGGAAAGCACATAGAGCACTGTGTCTTCACTTTGAAGAGCAGAAGCAGCCTGTTGTGGGGAATATTAAAGGTTCCAGATTTTCTCCTCCTCCCTATTTCCACTTTCCAAATGAGGCACTACAAGCACAGAGTTAAAAGGTCAGTAAAACTCATTTGCACCTGAACAAATCATGTTCACTGTTCTGGCCTCAGAAAGGGTCACCCATACATTTTTTTCAGAATGAAACATCAAAAAGAAACTGAGATAGCCCTGATCCTGCAAACAGACATGTTCTTAGCCTGTATTCCAGCTGGAATGTGTTACATGTAAAGTCAGTCAAGCTCATCCCTCAGAGAGGTTCCCCCCTGTCTGTGCCCTCGTGTACCACGGTAGTTTGGACAGAGGATCTATTCACATCCATGTATTTTTTAAACAGAGTTATTGACATTTCACTTCTGTCTATCTCCTCGTTTCTTTTTTTTTTTCCCATGTGAATGTGTGTTAAAACAACTGCATCTTCAAGCCATGCTTTTAGCTCAGAGACAAAATGACTTTGCTGAAGTCTAGGACCAATCTGGATGGACATATAGACAAAACACTGAATGGAAAGACCTTGTGTGTTTCAGAAGAGGGTTTCAAAGGTCCCAAAAGGATTTAGATGACAGTGACATCAGTAGAGAATAATTCAGTGGAGAAAAAGGGGCATCCAAATTTTACTGTGAGTGAGCATTCCGTTATTCCGGGGGAACCCTTTAATGCTCAGAACTTGAAAGGATTTCTAAATGTTATCTACTCCAAACAAAAGAGAACGTGAGCAGCTGCAAATGCTGAGCTGGGTTATAACTTTCCCTTGTAAAGCATCAAGGAACTTTTATTTCCTTGATTGCCATCTAGTGGAAATTGTGCTGTCTGCATTGCATCGTTCCTAACACCATTTCCATCTCGGAGTTCACTGAGCTGTGCAGGTGATTGCACCACTGAGATAAGGGGCAGGTGATTGCACCACTGAGATAAGGGGCAGCTGATGTTCTCTGCTTTGTAAAGTACAGCAAGGACTTGCTAGATCAGGACATTACACTGGAAGGTGCAGAGTGGCAGAGGTGTTGATGAGACCTTTATCTTTCACTGACATCAGTACGTTGCCAGCAAGAGGTGAGGCATCAGGATGGAAGGGTTAAAGTCATAACCTTGTCATCTCTCAGGTCACAGGTTATTCATGGTGCACACAGTTGGTGTGCAAATGGCCCCATCCAGTCGGGCCAAAACCAAAGTGTAGATCAATATTAATATTTCTAAGCTGTATTTCCTTCACCTGGGACAATTGCATTCTACAGATTAACTTAGTACTATTTTAGAAGGTTATAACAACTGTGTTAAGATGTGTTACTGAAACAAATGGGGTTATATCACAAAAAAATGCCACTGATTTTTTCAACCCACAGTTTGAGCTGAACTGTAGTGTTCCTTACAAGACTCAGTAAAGTGTTCTTTGAAAACATTTTGAAATGTCAATCCAGATTCCTGAAAAGTACCAGAATAATTCATTTTGGAGAGTGTTCATTCATGTGGAGACACCAGAATGCTGGTTAGATTACAGCTCTGCAGAGTCACATTTGGCCTGACCCTTATTCCTGTGATATTTTTTCTTTCTTCTTCCCTGTTTTTCAAAACTTCAATGGCTTTCCTTCAAGAATTGTATGCGATTACCCACACTCAGCCCTTAAGAAAGCAGCTAAGTGTCTAACATTGTTCCAGGCCTCCTTGTATTAAAGTCCCACCAGTGCCAAGCATTTTGGCACCGAATCAGTTTATCCATGCCATGTGCTTGTATCCACTTGCCTCCCCCTCACCAGCAATCTTTTACTCAGTTTCCTTCTTGAGAAGGACAAGACTTCTCTTCCTGCCACCCTGATGAGCTTCATGCAGCCTTGTCCAAACCTTTGCTGAAGCAATGCATGTTACTCATGGGCCTGTCATTGGAAAGCCACCAAAACCTCACTATTCAGAAGCCCTGAGACACTAAGAGCATCAGCAACCCCTACAGAGAACTGCTGGCAATTAGCCTCAGTACTTAAGCAAAGTGATTCCCTTTTGCCTTTAAAAATAAATATCAGTTTCCCAGATAAGTTGCATAACTGGAAGCTTTTTGTAACTCTCCTAGTCACTAGACTGTATTTAATTAAATCAATTGTTGGGTCTTGCCTATTAATAAAGGAAGTTTATCTTTAGGACAAATTCTTCTTTTTTAATGTTGTCTTTTTCTGTATAGGAAAAATAGCACCCAGTAGAAAATCGGAAAGTCCTTTAGAAAAATCTTTGTTAATGTTTTTCCTTCCTCCTTTTTCTTATTTTTAAATAAAGATATGCAGAGCCTCGAGAAGTTGCTGAGGGATGCAATAATATATGGGCAGCCTCGCACCCACAGAGCATGGAGAAAAATTATCATCCTCGTGGAGGGCATTTACAGGTATGTGTGTGTTTTAGAAAGATGAGTACCCTGTCATTTCTGAGGACAGAATGATATATTGAGTGAAGGGAACATTGACTTTAAGTATCTGAGGGAAATCTTAATGAGATTGGAAGTTACAATAATGTTCTGTGATCTCATAAATAGGTTAATTTCCATTATATCAGCCTGAACCCTGGATCCTGTAGCTCCAGTGGGGTGTTCTGAATCTTGATTTAGCAAATCACAGTGGAGTGGGAGATGTATTGAGAGCAAGACGGATCAGCTGGTGTTTGTTGTCACAGATGTGATAAAATTCATGGAGCTATAGTAGGTGAGTTCTGCTAAGTGAGTAAGCTGAGTTTTCTAGAGTTGTTATGCATGGGCAGATCAAAAGACAGCTACACTGAATTAGTTAAGCTCTGTGTGCCCAGTTCTTACCCAGCTGCTAGAATCTAAAATCCCAAGCTAAACTTAGGCTAAGTGTATCAGCACCTTTCTGGTAATTAGTGCTGGATCTAACAGACTCACACTTTAACAGAAAAACAATTAAAAGACTGGCTTTTAAAGAATTATTTGGTGGTATTCCATGTAGCCCTAGTCCCTGGAGGAATTCGAATGAGAGAGGCACCTTTGAGAATCCATCAGATAATACTGGCATCAATAATACCATGCAATTACCTAGTCAGGTAGCTCTGGTTCACTCTTGTGGTGCAGTTTACACCCAGTCAAACAGTCACTATAGTTGAGCAGCAAAGCAGCGGCACCAGCCAGAGTCACCATCCTGGGCTGTTTTCTCCAACCTCTCCAGTCAGGAGAGCGTTACTGGGAAGGCAGCCATGGGGCTCATGGATGGCGTGGAGGGGAAGCCACTGGTGGGTAAGTTGGAGAAGGGAAAGGCAGAGATCATGAAGAGGAGGGAAGGGCTCAAGAAGCAGTGTTAGTACAGTAAGAAGGTTTTCAGGTATCTAGGCAAAGCTGCTGCGGTGATGACAGGAGGGGAGGAGCAGGAGAAGGATAATTTGGGAAGTAGCAATACCTGCCCCAGAGAGAAGGGAACCAGAAGCTCTCATTCACAGGACATGACATGGTTTATAAAAGCAGCATTAAACTTTATATATAGGGATCATATCCTGTGTTGCTGAAATGCAGCCAGGCTGGATGGGCAGTCGCTTATGCCATTTTACTGTGAAATGCTGGCACAGTTGAGCAAGTTAGCTTTTTTTGTAAGAAATCTTTTACAATCTCATGTCATCACAACTTCATAGTTGTCAGTGCTTTCTTTCCACTGAACATTTTCCATCTGCAAAGAGACCAAATCAGTCCTTATCTAAACACCTGTCAGTCAGAGCTGAAACAGGTCAGCAGCAGATCAGCTGATCCAAAGCAGGCTGAATGTGTCCTTTCAACCAGAATAAACAGAGCAAAACTGCAAATAAACATCGCTTGGCACTACTAAAAGAAAGCTCAGATTTAAGGGCTTTGATCATGCAGAAATTAAGTGGACCACCAACATTTTACTGACAGATATCCCCACTGGTCACATGGCTGGCAGAAAAACCTCCAGCTGCTGAGCTTTGTTCGCTTTTAAATCCTTTACCCTGAATATTGACCACGAGAGAACAAGAAGGTAGATTGGTGACACAGAAGCATAGATCATTCCAAGCAGTAGGACAAACCCACTGTCAGATATTTACTATATTAACCATAATATAGTAAATATTATATATATTTCCAGATTTAGGTTTGATGTAGAGTTTTCTTTTCCTCTAGTTTTGCAGTTGGTTTCAAAAGGAGATTTCATTTTCCAAAGATCAAAGAACCTTCTGTTGGAATGCAAAATAAAAACATGTTAAAGCTCAGAGAACCTCACTGAAAAGGAAGCATAATGTTCCTTCAGCTCCATAAAGGCTAAATAATATTAAGACCACTTGTGCCCTGAGTGTCTATGCTTCTGACAGGCATAAAGTAGAAGAAAACCAATGCTCAGGTCTCTGATAGTCTCTCGTTGGAAACCAGCCCTAGCAATAGCTGAGTTGGTTGGTTCATTAGTTGTTTTCATAATCCAAGCAGATCAGAAATTGCAGAGTGTGGTTTGGTTGTAAAGCAAGTCTGCTCTGGCTGCAGGGCCAGTGCCACCACACCCCACCGTGCCATGTCCCTGCCACCACTGCCAGCCCTGGGCACTGCTGGGAACAGGCTCATAGCCCGGGTAGTCTAATCCAGTCAGTAGCTAAGAACATTTCATAGGCCAAAAAAAAAAATAGCTGGAGAAAGACATACTAGAAATACTCTTTTTATGTGCATGTTCTTTCCTTTCTTGGCCCACACTTGTTGAAAGACTAAAATTTTCCAGCCCCATATTGGCTAATGTTAGGTTTTCTTGAAGGTTTGCCAGATGACAAATTAACATTCGTCAAGAGGGTTTAAGGGGAGGTAGAGTGTAGTTAATGTATTCTTCTTACAATAGTTAATACTGCTTTTTTTTTTTTTCCATAAAGGATTTAAGTTATGCTTCAGGGACAGCTAATACGGAATTTAAATAACTTGGTCAAAGCCATTCTCCAAGTTAAAATATCTTGATTTGCAAGTTTGGCTTGGCAAATTTTTACAGAAATGCTTTTTCCAGAGATGCAAAAGAAAACACTAAGCTTTCCATCTTCAAAGAAATATTGTTATATGGGACACCATAGTCTTAGTATGGTGACGTTTATGGTATGGAAAGAAATTTGCCTTCTGTTTCCATTAGGAGTATGTTAAAGTGTTTACATTGTGCATAAGCATGGACTTACCAACTGGCAAAATTTAAAAAGGGTCATTGTTAGCCAACACGAGCATTTCTGGAAATCAGACTTGTGTTTGAAACCATAAGCCACAGATTTTGCTTGGTTACAACTGAAGGCAGAATTGGCCCCTCAACTTGGGAAGAACTCAAGCTTCATGTCAAACCAATAGCAATAAGTATATGTTTGTTTGCCTTTAAATGTCTCTATTATCTTAGAAAGAAAAAAAAACTCATCAGAAGTAAATATAACTACTAGTGAAAGCTAGTCCTTAACTTGGACTAGCCTAGGAGCAAATCTATTCCCTTTGGGTTCCAAACTGAGGGAGACCATCTCACCATCAATCTTCAGCACAGAAAGCATGAACAACTTTTGGCAGTGACCAAGGCACAAGTTAAGCTGACTTGCTAAATCACATTTTTATTATTTGAATTCCAGCTAATGTTTTCCTTGGCTTCTCCCATTTCCAGTTCTGGATTAATCAGTTACTGTGTTCTTACATGGTCCGTGGTAGGCTTCTGCTCTCTTCCATGCCTATTTACTTAGGAGTCAGATAGGCCAAGGCCCAGGGCAGGAGTTATGGGGCATCAGAAACTGATCAAAACAGATTGTTTTTCATTTGTTTTTTCCCTGCTTTTAATTTAATTTGGGTATTTTCCCTTCCAGCTAAGAAAATAGCTCTGATCAGTTAGATATTGTCCAGTGCCTTTTCATGTGCGTTAGAAGTTTCCTTGGGATTCAATGCCAATAGTGTAGGAAATTTATCAGGGTTATTTCTTATTTCCTGGGATTAAGTGACTGGGACTTCCAGAAAAGAATGAGGTAGCATTTAATGTCTTTGGCCAGGGACCAACACTGAAGGTTAACATTTCTATCATTTCAGTGTATGGAGTTGTATTTGAGGGCAGAGTTGGACAGTTTCCTTAAAATTATTGCTCTAAACTACAAAACAGAGATTGTTGTGTGAATGTACGACGTTTATGTAAGAAAACAGTGCCTACAGTAACTGTTAAAATGGAATGAACTGTTAAAATTGGGAGTAACAGGCCAGGAAAGGAGGGATTTTCCCAATTACAAACCAGCCTGAAAGGGGAACAGATAAACTTTTCAAATGTTGAAAACATAGGGGTACTATGGGGCATGTTTAGAGATGCTGAATGATGCAGTTATGAAGTAGATAACAGGTTGAGTATCAGTAAATTAGTTTTCATGACAGAAAAAAAAATTAAATTGGAACTGTGGTAGCATAATAGGATGTAGAAAACTCTTTTCCCAAGAAGTTTCAAAATTAACTGGACAAAAAAACATCCTGTCAAGTTGAAGCCTCTGTTCCAAATGGAGTGACCATCACAAGTGCACACCTCCTGTCTCTCAAAGCACCTGCTCCACAATTCATCAGCTGCATCAGAAAGAATGTCAGTGGTCTGATAGGGATTGAATCAAGTTTCAAACTTCAGCATTCCCAAAACTTGGGATTATGAAAATAATGAACCTACTTCTCATGTCTGGAAGTAGGTTCAAACTGAGTGTGTACTAACTCAAGCGTTTGTGCCTGTCCACCAAACAAGGGTGACAAGAGTCAGCTGCAATGTAGAAACTTTTCATCCCTACCACCAAGCTAAGAAATTTTGCTACAAGACAAGGTGTCATAATGAGAACATCTGGCTTAGGCAGAGCCAGTTTATGTTCATTTGCATCCAGGTTTTTTGATGTGTCTCGGGTGCTTGAGCAGATCTGGAAACAGATCCATAGGTTTGTACACAAGCTGTTTGTACACAAAGCTGAGTGACACAATCAGATTGCGACAGAGCCATTACACTTCACTTCTGGCTCTCTGGTTTAAGCTGAGTTGACATCAATATTTACTGAAGAATTCAGTAAACTCCATTTGGGCTTCCCAAGGGATTTTGTGAAGTGAGTTTTATCTTGAAGCAGTTCTAAACAGTGTTGTGCATATCGATAACCATCTGCCAGGGTCTAAAGAGAGACCAAGAGCAGAGCAGGCAGCAAAACAGGTCATCCTTTCCATCAGGAGGGATGAGGCCTGTTTGAATGGCAGCACAGAATGCATGCATGAATCCAGTAGCACTTTATCCATGGACACTTCAAGGCCATGTTGGGATCTCTGTGAACTGTTATAACATTTATGTCAGCCAGCATCCTTCCAGAGCAGTAAGTCAACTCTGAAACTGAATACAAGTGCCTTGTTTTGCTTAGAGTTCCAAGAGAAATCTCCTACTCGTATGAGTAAGAAAAGTTTTCATTAAATCTTCTTAATGGTTAAATCTTGCAACAGCCATGAACCAGCTCCATGTATTCTGGGATTCAGCAAAACTTTGTTCCCATTCCACAAATATGCAACATTTTTAATTTACCAGTTTTACTCTCGTCTTTTTGAAGTTAAATGCTGGCTCTCCCATCTGAATCTCCATGAGCCACTAAGCCTAATGATGTCCATATACATATGGGAAAACTGTTATTGTCCTTCTCTGCCTAGCTGGTATGCCCAAGCTTTGCTGGAAGGTGGAGGGTGGGATGGCTGTTTGCTTCCCTCTGCAGAGGTGCTGCTTGGCACTCTGTCCACACATCCACCCTGCAGACTGACCAGACACAGCTGAGAGCTGCCAAACACAGCAGGTCCAAGCACATCCAGTGGCTCAGGGTAGTTTTTAGCTGACTAATGCTTTGACTCTGGGCTATGTGAGGACTGTGGGCTCTGCCCTTGTATTCATTAGGAAAATAGCTGTGGTGGTTCGAGTTGCTTCTCCCCCAGCTGCCAAGTGTCATTTGGGAAAAGTGAGAAAGCCCAGTCTTCAGGAGCTTGCAGTACAAGCCCACCCTTCTTTGCTGCAAGGGATCATGGTGCCAATATACAACCCCACAGTTGCCTCTTTTATGGCTGGGCAAGACAGAAGGGCAAGATTTGCCAGCAGTCACCTACAGCCAAAATTATGCCTCCAGGCACAGGCAGCCAGGCTCTCTGAACCTCCCAGTATGAACAGCACAGGCAACCCTTGTCCATGACTACTCCCTCGTGCTGTTAAACTAATGGAGACTTGCCTATGGGCAGGTCTCCTTCAAAACTGGAGACCAAACAGTTTCCAAGCTGACTCAAGAGACCAAAGGATGAAGAAGGACTAAAATGGTCAGAAATTTCCTGAGTTCTAAAAGCACATCCTGCTACTTTTGTGATTCCAAACTTCCAGACACACAGTGCAACTAGAGTGGCAATAAAACAGCCTGTGAAAGCCACTGGTCCAGGATCTAAAAATTTCCAAGACATTATTGATTGCACTGCTCCTTTATACTTGCTACTTGGGAACAAACTCATGTTTCTGCTTACCTGAAGCTCGTTGCATTTGCAAGTGGATACACCTTAGCTGTGGGCTGTAGCCACAGAGCACTGGTTTTCCTGGCACACAGCACACTGATTTTGTGTTTGATAGGAAGTTTTTAGCATTTAAAGACCAGCTTGCTAGAGCTGGTGGAAGAGAACATGTTAAACTCATGAACATGAATACTGAGTGCATCTGAGCATATCCAAGCGTAGCTGTAGTCATCTCACAAAGGTTTTCAAGACATAAGTCTTCACAGCATTACTATGGATATGTCATCTTTATGAGATCAGAGAGCATTTCTTATTTATCTCCCTGGGCTTTCATTTTGCTGTACACCTCCTCTGTGCCTTCTCACTTACTGACGTGGCTGCCAATAGTACAAAAGATTTGTCATCTTTTCTCATTTCTGCAAATCTCAGTATGCCACTAATCATAGAATGGTTTGGTTTGGAAGGGACCTGAAAGATCATCTAGTTCCAACTCTCTTTCCACGTGCAGGGATATCTCCCACTGGACCAGGTTGTTCAAAGCCCCATCCAATCTGGCCTTGAACCAGAGATGCCCCCCAGAGATGGGGCATCCACAGCTTCTCTGGCCAGCCTGTTCCAGTGCAGGTTCAGAATATTTCCCTTTCATGTATGGCTGTAAGAAAGTAAAAAGAAAAGGAATGGAAACTTTTTTCCTTTTGATTACTAGGTAGCAGGCCACATTCCTAAAAAGTACATACTGAGAGCAACAATTGGCCAAGTGGATTTGAGCTGCCTGTTCTAACCCCTGATTTCTGTTCACTCTGAAGACTGTGGCTGCTTAAAATTATGGCACCAGCTGTGGGTTTCATGTGGTCCATCTCCTGTGTATGTTGGACCCAGCTCCCCTGCACCAGAGGAATTTTCTCTAGAGCTGTTATGCCCAAATATTGGCACAGTAGCTGTTGATGAAGTAAGCAAGAACCAGACTGAGTTATAGCAGTTCTTTATAATGCATTATAATATTTGGTTTATACTGATGAATTGTAACGTGCTGGTTTGGGTGAGTATCTCCCCCTTTCTTTATACATTTCCTTCTCTCTTTTGGCATGCTGACAATTTGCAAATGTTCAAAGACTTTGTGACTGGTTTGGATTGTTCGAATCCTAAAACTTGCCTTTGACTTTTTTATACTCACCTGCAAACGGGAAAGGGCTGCAAGTTCTCTTTGAACTGTAAGAAAAAATTGAGGTTCCAGAAGGTGTTTCATGGACTAAGGCAATTAATGACTATATGTTCTGCCAATATCTTAAAGAGAAAGAGTGCAGGAGTTGTTGTTCATCCCTGATTCTCTCCACCTGCAGCATGGAAGGGTCCATCGTGCGCCTGCCAGAGATAGTCTCCTTGAAGAACAAATACAAAGCCTACCTCTACTTGGACGAAGCTCACAGCATCGGTGCAGTGGGAGCAACGGGCCGAGGAGTCGTGGAGTACTTCGGGATGAGCCCTGATGATGTTGATGTATTAATGGGAACGTTCACGAAGAGCTTTGGTGCAGCTGGAGGATATATAGCTGGCAAAAAGGTAAAAGGAAAGCATAAACAATTTAACATCAAGGGGATGGGAAGTACCTTCTTACTAGGTATGATACATGTCAGTTTTTTTTCACACAGACTGCTTTACATGAGCACTGTTCTAGAGTTTAGTACCACTTTTGCCTGGATCCCAAACACACATCAAGCAGCCAGACTTTCTTCTTTTTGTCTCATGTTCACATTATGTAATTTGCTTGAGCTGGGTATTTTTTGTGCCACCCTAATGATTGTTGTTTGTCTTGGAAATATTTGGACACGTTGTGGTTGGCTAAATATACTTCCCTACATTAATTTGCATGCGGATTGCTCATTACTTTGTTTCGCATTTGTAAACAATGTGTGGGGCAGTATTGAGAGATTAAAACCACAGTTTCATCCACTGATAATAAAATTCCTGAACAGTTGTGGATTGACATAGTTGCATTTTTTAGAAGAATGGACAAAGAGGATAACTGAGGGCCTTTTGCAATAGTAAATTGTGTGTCCTCAGTTGCTCCGCGTACATTAACAAAACAATCTCTTGCCAACAACAGATGTCAACAAAAGTAAAGCTGAGTTTGCTTTAACTGGGGGTGTAGAAGAGAAAGCATAATCAGCACCATTGTGAAATGTCATCGGTTTTGTTGCTTGACAGAGAGATCAAGTGGCTGCTGATTATTTGCCCTTTTCAGATCCCGCTGAATGTATTTTTTAAGGAGTCTGCTAAATGAGTGGGAAGCCTGTTTACACAGCCCATATGGTTGTTGTCAGGATAACATTAATAAGGGTAGCCCTACAGTAGAATAAAAGCGCTATAAGAAAGTATAAACTGTATATTTCTTAGTGTCTTTTTTGGATTTGCCCCTGGAGATCTTAAAAGCGGGTGTCATAATACATCAAGAGTCAATTTGCTTTGTTTCTTCGGCTTCCTGAATTTATGTCTGAAGGCTTAACTCTCACCAAAGACAATGTAGCTGATGTAACTAAAAAGTATAGAAAGACTAGACCTGTGAAAAGTAGTCTGAAGTAATTCATGCTCTAATCCTTGGACGTTACTTTAGATGAAAACAGGTCGTTCTTTTCACGCCTGTGTGTGTCAGTAAGCTTTGCCTCAGGCTTCTGAACCTCAGAAGCCTGCTCACCCATTCACCCACTTACATTCATTTCTGCAGCCAAAAACTCAGGGTGGCACTGTTTATTCTGCATCAGCTGGAGCACAGAAGCCTTCTCAGCTATTTAACCAAACCCTTAGGAGTACAGTTGCAATATAGCCATGCATAGCTTGTGTAAGGTTAGGTAAGTCTTTATCCCTACCATTGGAGTTACTGCATAAACTCATACAGCTCTTTTGGCAGTAATTTGTCTAATCCCTTTTGGGTTGGTTTTTTTTCTGATTTTTTTTTTTTACCATAGTCCAATTTTCAAGCGTCATCCCTTTCTCAGTAACATGAATTCAGCTTTTAGCATGGTAACTGCTACTCTGATATTATGCACTAGGAGGTATAAGCTGTTGCAACAATGATGATCTTAATAAGATCTGATTTCCTACCAGATCCCTGGATTCAGGAGAGTTACGGGTGCTTTAGATATGCCTACAGTACATCAGTGCTTTTTCTAGGAGCACAGATTGTGCTCTTAGTTGTACAAGGAAATGTTAAAGCAACTATACCAACTCTAACATGACTATCCCTGCCACACTGATGGAAAGTTTCATTTGAAAATTTTTGTGCTAATAGACAAAGATAGATCCCAGTAAGGTGCTTTTCCTGAATTAGGTCATGAGGCAGAGAAACTAGTCTGAAGTCATGTAGGCTTTGCTTCATTCTCAGAGAGGAACTGAGCAGCATTATTTTAAGTGCAGCTGTTCATTGGTCTTGAAATTATTTTGGCTGCTTTGTAATAAGTCTTAGCACAGAAGTAAACATTATTCTCTTCCAGACTTCTGTTGCAGCTATAACTGCCCCACTTGGTAAAGTATTTGCACCTGCCTGATGTTTCTTCAGGCCATGTATTAACAGTGGCAGCCAAGAAAGCAAAACAGTAACTGGTGAAACGTCCTCTTCCTTTTGCATATTCCCACTCCTGCAGTAGTTAAGAGGGAGACCTGCTGTTTGGCCAGCTCCAAGCTCATTCATGCTTTGTTTTGCTTGTGTAAGGGCCTTGTGGACTTTTTACGAACTCATTCTCACAGTGCTGTGTACGCCACATCCATGTGTCCACCCGTAGCAGAGCAAATCATCAGGGCAATGAAATGCCTCATGGGACTAGATGGGACAACACAAGGTAAGCCACCTACTTTCACTTCATTTACTCCAGTTGCTTCCAAAGCACCTCCTGGGTGCGAGCACGTGCAACGTGTCATCCAGCAGCAAAGTAGTATGGTAATGCAATGCAAAGGAAATCATTCTTACTGCAAAATTAATATCTAAATCACCATACTTTTAAGTGCTATCAACTCTATTTCTTTTTTCATGCTCATCCACATGCAGCAGGGATGGAAATATTTTGGAATTCTGGATCAATAGTTGCCAGCCCGTCCCGTTTTGCAGCAAGGAATAGAAATACATGAATTTCCCTTTGAGTATATTATCTGACTTTGTGGGAGGGTTCATAAGGACATGCCTTCATTTCTGGGCTAGGTGCTGTCAGTTTAGCTTCTTTGTAAGTTTGGACCTTCAAAATGGCAACCAACACAAGCATGGTGCAGCATTTCAGAACAGGTATTGTACGTTAAATGACAGTATGAGGAGATGATTATAATAATTCCTACCTCACTCAGATATCAATTATGGTGTCCAGAAGCTAGTTCTGAAGTACATTTTGTCCCTGAAGAATTGGTTGCTTGGTGTCTTTATGGAAAACCAGGTTTATTTCTATTCCTCTCCTGAAGTTGTAGATGCAGCTACTGTCCAATCCTCTGTGTAACCTGCTTTCTATACAGCAAGCAACAAAACAACTATGTGACATAGCTATCTGACACTGTTTCAAAGTGATGCTGATATGAATTTGGTATTCTAGGACTTAAACCCCAACGTGGAGAAAAACTGATGGTTTTTGAATTTGTATAGTTTTTTTCAAGAATTCCTTTGAGTCAAATTATTGTGTAACATGCAGCTAAAGACACAGATTCTGCTCTGAATTGCAATCTCTCTTATACTGGTCCAGCAGCACCGTGCTGTGCTATTTTCTCCTTGTCTGAGGCTAACAGAATTAATTCTGTATTAGTCCTCCCTGATAGATTTGACTGGGGTAAGGAGGGAATGGGGAAGAAAAGGGTAGATGAGAGCAGGTGAGATACTGCTTTACACTATTCTGTTGCACAGCCCTAGAGGGCAGTTTCAAACCACAATAGACGTGAAGATATTAAGACATTTATCACAGCACTTCAATGAGGCCAGAATTTACAATACCCCAGAGTACAGAAGGAGGGATAGGGAATCCAGTGCCAGTGCCAAATTCTGCTGAGTGCAACGGCAAAACTGCACCGCGATGTGCAGACGATGAGCAAGCGATGCTTTTGTTGTTTTGGCAGAGAAGTCAAGAGTGGAGCAACTGCTTCCAACTTGAAATTTGAAAGGTCAGGCTTGCATATGCTGATGCCTACATCCTGTTCAATATGAGACCAGCTCTGACATCTTTCTTCCACCTCGGGGCTGCTCTCTGCCCTGGCGCTTGCCGTGAGAGGGCGGTCTGACACCGAGCCTTCCCAAGACTTCCAGACTTCAGGCACTCGGAGATGCTGCTGTGTGTAAAACATGAAACATGCAGAGCATTTCCAGGCCTTCAAAGTCTGTTACAAATGCTCTTCAACTAGCGTGATTCTGCATGCAGTTCAGTGCAGGATAATAGGACAACTTGGTTCAAGACAGAGTCTTTTAAGATGTGCGTGTCTGTCTTAGGGCTGAGAGTTTGAAGCATTCTCTCTTCCAGAAGCAGAGTTGTTTAATGACACAATGTTTGTCTTTCTGCACAAAATAAGAGCTTAATAAGTCTTCTGCATATCCTTTATGAAATAAATTAGTGTTTTGTCAGTTTTTTAAAAAGTGTCTTGTAATATGAAATGCAAATGAGTAGAAAAACAAATGAATAAATCATATATCACAACTTTAGAGCATTGCACAAAGGCTAGCAAACTGGCTATGATGTGTAAAAATGTGTCTTGTCCTTCTGAGCCAGACCCATTATTTTAGTCCATTGGGTTTTCTTTCATGTGGGCCTCCCTTCATTAGGCTGTCTTGTGGACTACAAAAAAACCCCACAACCCAAAACACAGGAAAAAATGCTGTGCTGGACCACATTACAATGCTGCTTTGGCACCAGAGAGAGGAAGGTGGTGGCTTAGAAAGGAGGGGAGAACAGAGGGGAGAAAGCACTGTCTCTTCTTAAATATTTTTTATGCCAAGGACAACAGTGACCTTGGCAGAGTTCTTTTAGTCTGCTGACATAGAAAATGGTGAATTCTGCACATAAGTCATTGTTGTGAGGGAGTGAGNCTGACAGAAAAGTTTCAAGTGGTACGCAGGGTGTGACAGACCATTTGTTCTCTGGAAGCCTGTTGAATTCATAGAAAGAGTTTATTTTACAATTTATCTCTATTTACATTCTCTTCCCACAGGATGATTTAGGGAACACTTTATAAGGAGATGTCCACTGATGGCTTGTCCTCCAGAGGTCATTTCTGTAGGGGAGGGGACCTTGAAAAAACTACTGGAAATGCTTTGCAAAAGAGTGAAATTAGAATTTGCTAAAAAGTTCCATGTGAACTAGAGGGTGCTTTTTGAAAAGAGGATGAAATAAGGGGATGACAAACATCGTAACACATAAGCATGTTCTTATATCTGAACTTCATGACTGACTCCTCAGCAGATAATTAGAAAACTAAGAGAAGGAAGACTGTTTGGTGATTTAAATTGCTGCTCCGAAAAATCTTTATTTTTCAGTCCTTCACACAGTATTTTATATCTTTCCAGATATGAGGCTCTTACATTCCCTTCATTTTCTTGCTAGTTATTCTCCACTAATTTGTTGAGCAAGCAGGTGATCTAGAAGAGAGTAGAATAGGCGGAATTATATAGTAGGTAATGCCAGAGGCCAGAAGTGCAGTAATACTGCTTGTGTTTATCGTGGTGTATATTCAACTGATTGATCTTCCATATTTTCTTCCTTTATTTTCAATTACTAAAATATGGTTATTCATTTGGATGAGGAATGGTGATTTGCATTTCTAGATCAATATACTGGATGCCTGACTGCAGGATACGAACAGATGTTTATAGACACGAGGGGTACATCTTCGTTACAGGGAAAGAACAGGTTAACACTTTAAAAGTAATTCTGTGAAACTTATACTGTTTAGCTGGAAATTATCCACAGCAGGTGCCTGTGTCAGGCTACAATGCACAAATATATGGGGATGTCCCATATCAGTATTTGTGTTAGTTGTGAGATATTAATGTCACAGCAGTGCAACTGAGAGGATACTGCAGAGCCCACAGCCAGCTTTTATAGTTTCCTTCTTTTGTCATGTTTTCTGTGATGAATTGAGAAACTGAGGAACAAGAAATGCTGAATAAGAAGAAGGTACTAGCTCCCTCAAAACTGATATACACTGTTGATCCTGCCTGGGAAAGAGGAATAGGTTGAGGTTACTATGACCAAATGCTTTGTTTCTTGAGTGACTTATATCAAAAGAGTCAGAAGTTGACTACAAAAAAAAGCAAATGTATTTCCATTTTCATGTGAAATCAAATTTTTAGTAGAGTACAAGTTCTGGTGTTATCCAGTGTCATGCTTTACAGGACTCTGAAAATCAATGGCTTGTAGAACAAGACACATTTGTTCTTAGTAACATAATGTCATAGATACCATCATAGCTCCTATAATAGAGTTGTTCTAAAGTGTATGAACTCCTGGCAGCTGTATTTCCATTAGGAATGTCATAAGGCAAGAAGCTCCACAGTTCAGTTCATATAGTCTATTTAAAAAAAAAAATCATTTTATCCCTCTTAAGCCTTAGTGGCCTTTTCATCTCAAATGTGTCTCTGCTCATTTATTAGGAAATATGGGGAAGAGAAGTTCCCATGCCATTTACTCTTTAAAATTCATAATATAGATATTCTTTATGTGTTCTCCTCATGGCTTCTCATTACACCACCGGAGATACCTCAGGAAATTCAGCAGCTGCCTTAGTGGTTTTATCCCCGTGATGAGACTGCAGTTGACTCAGAGTGTTTGGACTCTGCACAAATTTTGAAGTACACTTGCTTGCATGCAACACAGCCCCTCCAGCTGTGACCTCAGACCTCTTTTTTCCCTCCTTTCTGCATGAGAATACCAAAAACATATTTTTACATTTAAATTTGATAGGTAAAAAGTAGAACCACTAGGCAGACAGAGTTAAGACTGTTAGAAAATCCAAAGCAATTTTCTTGATGACTAATAATAGATTATAGTGGTGTAAAAAGCAAATTGCAGCATTTGCAAAGGCATCATTTTTCTGTTTAAAGCATGGCAAACAATAATTCACCAACAACAGTGGCCATTTTTCATATGTTTTTATGAGATGCTGAAAAATGTGAAACCCTGTCCTCTGGAATCTACTTGTTAAAAGATTTGTTGTGTTAAAAGATAATTCATGAGATAGTTTAGATTTAAAGTGTTTCTTTAAAGTGTTAATTTACTTTGCCATTTGTGTTGATTGGTTTATCTTTTTGAAACGACTAGTTTTCATTTTTGTTTTTAACAAAAGAACTCTGCGTTCTTGCATTTGAGCTCGTTCACGTTGTGAGAAGTGGCAGAACACTGCTTTCTGTTTCAGCTTGGCATCAAAAAAATTGTTTTTGAAAGTTCCTTTTTAAAACATTTCTGTCTGCCTTAGATTTTTTTGCAACTGAAGGATCAGCACCTTAAAAGCAGTTTCCAGCATTTTCCTCTGCTATATGTGCTCAACAGTCTTTTGAAAAAAATTAGCTTTGCTTTGTCAGGGTGCTTTGTAAATGCAGAAACCTTGGTTCCACATCTCTACAATCTGGCATAAAGCAGCCCTGATGCAAGGAAGAGCACTCTTGTCCTCTGTTTTTTTCTCCCTCTGCCTATCCCCCTTACTCCTGCCCCTTCTCCCTCCACCAGTATTAGTGTTCATACAGCCATGAATCAGAGAACTGATCTAGCTGAAAAATAACCAACCCTCCCACAAATGGTTTGCCTACAGCCCAGCTGGTTCCCTGAGCCAATCTGCCATATGGCTACATGAATCCCAGTGCCAGGACTTGAGCAGCTGGAGC